ACAACAGGAGATTATCACAGTAAAAATATACATTTGCTCTAACCACAGATAGCCTCTGGACACGCACTCAGGCGCACATGAAACTTGCATTAGAAACCCAGCCCCTGCTCCGTGTGAAGGCACTGCACTGCCTCCACCGGTCCTGTGCCCTGGGCGCAGGTGAGTGAACACGCACGGCACCGTGATGTCTCATGTGACACATCACGTAGAACAGTAGTGGCACGAGAGGGCTCAAAGATGACATGAAGCTTTTAAGTTTAAGTGATTGGAACTCAAGAGGAGAAAAATGTTTGGGCCAAACAATATAATGGTGCTTTAGACTATAGGTAACAAAATATCCAACCAAAAGCAGCCTAAAACTCCCGTTTTTCTCACAGAAGTCTGGAGACAGATAGTTTCAGATTTGGTTCAACACAAAGATGTCAGGGCTTGGTCCGCTTCTCGGAGTTTTCTGACCCTGCTCTCATGTTGCAAGATGGCCACCTCAGCTCCAAACATCACATTAACATTTTATTGACGGAGAAAGGAAAGAGTCTCTCTTGACGGCTCTCATCCCGGGAGCTCCACACCAGATTTCTCCTGAGCGCCCCTGGTCAGGATTGTGTCAGACTTCCGTGCGCAGCGCCGGGAGACTGGGAGATCCAGGACCGGCATTTTCAGGCTGCTTCACGGAAGGCCAGCTCAGCTAGCAGGGAGAAGGGCATCGGGTGGGTAACCAACGACCTCTGTCACCGTGGTGAATTCCATTCTCTGTCCCTACACAGTTGATAAAGGCCCACTTAGCAGCCTTATAGAGCTTGAATTAAATGGGCTAAATCATGACTATAGTAAATTAATATTTTCTAGAAACCAGTTAGTTTCTCAGTGAGCTTTTTCCCTTTTACTTTTGAATTGAGAGCTAACCCCACTGCTTCTTAACAAATAAAAGATTTGATTATTTCCCTTATACTTTTAAAATTTGAGTGAAAGCTCTTTGGCTGCTATGAAGATATGTATCCATCCCCTTATGCATGTTTCCAGATTGCTTTTCTGGTATCATTAGCTATTATGTATCTTTAGGAGCACCTTTATGTGTGCGCCGTGCGCATTTATAAGAGGAAGACGATTCTATAGACGTTAAGAACCACGTTCATTTGAGAGTCAGGAGGCTCTGAGAACTCCCTGATGTTTAGTTTAAATTGAACCTGGACAGACACCCCTGAATAGCATAGGGTGGCTGAGCTGAGCCGAGCCCGTGACACAAGTCGAGTAAAACTAACAAAATACAGATCCTCTGCTGAGAAGAAACTGTCTTGGCTCAGGAAGGGCCTGGTTTGGGCCTCTGGAATTGCAGAGTAGTGCTTAGCTTCTTAAGCTGAATAAAGTCGGAATCCTTTATTCTCAGGATCTGTTGTTGTAATGGTCTAATCTGTAATTGTCTCATTGTGATATTTTTAGCCCGATAAAATTCACACGTAATAAATTTGAGCTGAGAGTGTCACTATTAATACCTCTGCTGGTGAACGGTAGAGGCGAGGAGGGGAAGAGCCGAGGAGAGCAGCTCTCAGCCTCATCATGTATCTTGACCGGACAGTCACTGAGTGCCTTCCACACCCTCGGTGCAGAGGGTGGAAGGGTAAGGCCAGGCATGCCTTTCAGGCTGGCACAGTGTTGTGGGAGGGAGTCCAAAGCCTGCCTTCCTGACCGGATGAGAAATCAGTAGTGTCTACCAGGAACTGGTTGGCTGCTTCTCCTTCCAATTGTAAAGGCTTTGTTTCCACAGTTGGGGAGTTACTGTAGTGAAATCACAGTACATTACAGTGACTGTTTGAACTAAATTACCGTGAGTGCCAAGAGAAGGCCTTTCCTACTTTCTTTTCCCATATTTCAGAGAGAGATTTCAGAACAACTCGGTGCCTTGGGGAAATTTTTATTTCCGAAATACCTGAAATGGTTGACTCAAGTTAGTGAATCTGTAATTTACTAGAAGCTGTATTCCTGAAAAGTCATATTTTAAATGTTAAAAAGTAATGTTGAAAAACCGATACTTCTAACCAAAAAAAAATAGAGCTTAATGCCTTGTATACTTGCCAGAAAGATAGCAAAAACTGATTTTAAGCTTAAGCTCTCTTTTTACTTCCCCCAGCCACCTAAACCTGGCCCCACTCTAGACGTTGATGTGCAGACAAGAGCATGTAATTCCTGTAAGCAAGGGAGGTAGGCACCTCTCCCCTTATTTCTAGGATCCCAACAGTGGCCTGGGCTGTCCTGGTTTTGACTGCCACCTTTTAATGCTCCAAATCACAGGCCTGGCTTAAATTTCAGGCTTCTGGGGCCAGCTTCTCCCTGTGGGCGCAGCCTGCTGGGCCCAGGCGCCAGCACTCAGGGCTCTTGACAGGCAGCCCTCCTCTCCTGGCTTAGCATTAAGAGAGAGAGAGACCACCGCCAGAACCGGAAGCTACTTAAAGTAGCTGGAACCGGAAGCGACTTAGAGTAGCTGTCACAGGAATGCTGACTGTCCTTCCTCAGTGAGCCTGCTGCAGAGGAGTGCATTGCCTGCTGGCGCAGAGCGCTCACCGCCTTCTGGGACTCATTTCTCCCCAAAGAACTCTTTCCCCACTTCCTCCTCTTCAAATCCAGAGGTATCCAAGACATGGCCCTCAGCTAGGACTTCCTTAATCAGAAAGTCTCAGAAAAAGTGTTTTCTTCACCCAAAAAGCATTCACCTTTCCCAACCCTGGCCATCCACGTTTAGGCACATAAAAAACTGGCGGAGGTTTGAAATTGTAAATTTACTTTTGTCTCGACATCCATGGTGTCCTGGATCAGGCATTCAAGGCCTTTCTTCCCTGTTGAGGGTGGGCAGGCAGGGGTCGGCCTGCGTCTGTGCTCCCCTTTCCTGCAGGCAGTTCCCAGCTTGGCACCACTTTCCCCATCACCAATGGCCTTTTTCATGTGTTGCGTAGACTTTTAACAGTTTGAGTCAGAAGAACAGTTTTAAATTAAACACCTTAGAAGAATTGGGTTGAGTAATGGCTGAGGACCCATAAAATGACTATTTCCGGTGCCTCCCAGAGTGGCAGGGAAGTGTCTGAGGCCTCCAGGGCTGTGTGGGGTCATGGGGTAAACACAGCAAGTCTTCCTGGGGCATCGACTTCCCAGCAAATTTGGAAATGTTCAAAGGTTAAAACTAGCCACTGTGTTATGGAATAGAATACAAAATTTATAATAATTTCAAGGTAAGAGGTTTTAAGCATGAGATAGCTCACTTTAGAGCCACTTTCCCTTCTGTCTCCAGGGGTTCAGGTAACTCTCCTATTTAAGACAACTTTGCCGGAAATTTGAGGAATACTGTATTTAAGAAGGTGTCATTGTACAAAAATGTATGACTTTTTCAAAGGTGTTCTATTATGACAGTTGTTAGCTCCTAATTTTGCAGATAATTGCCAAACTACAGACATTCTTATTTTATGTAATATGCATATGCCAGGAAAGTTTTGTTTGAGTGGATGTATTTGTAAATCGAATGCTTTTTAAATGCAATAGACACTTTCTAAGGAATCCTAAAATAAATTATTTTATAAATAATCACTCCCTGATTCTTAGTTTTGTAAGTTTGAGTTTAATAACATTATTTTTCTTAAAGTGGGTTTTTTCACTTACATGTGAAGATAAACATCCATTTATCTTAAATTGAAAATAGTTCTTTATTAATTTGTCTTTCAAAAAATGCCACATTCAATACCATTGAATTTATCTGACTCAGACCAATGAACATTTAAGATTATATTTGTTAATGGAGCTGAGTAATCTAAGAAGTGTTTTTTAGATTCCTAATCATATTAAATATCTAAATTATTATTTCTAATGCTTGTGTTGTCTCAATGAAGCACGTCCAGCAAAGCATCAGTCCGATCATGAAGTTCCTCAGGGCAGATTATTAAATAACCATGAGATTAACCAGGCGAACTTCAAAGTTGATTTGGAATGTTGTACTATTTATTGCTCTAAGCAATTGTATTAGTCAAATATAAATGTTCAGAGTACATTTTCATTAGCATGCTGTATACGTCCAGCTACTTCCAAAGGCTTTCTTGGTCTTCATACAGTGCCATTATTCAATAAATAGATAGGCTTGTTATTAGTTTTATTTATTATTCTTAATATAAAAGAGTGGAAATTAAGATGTTACATTAAAGTAGAATGGATAAAATGTAATTGAAATAATGTAGAGTAATTTAGGTAAACTTCTTTGTTAATTTGAAAATTTAAAACTATGTGACCACAACTTAAGATGTGTTCCAATACAGAGTCGTGGAGAAAATAAGAACAATATCGTATTACTGGTTTCTAGATTCTTTGGGAAAGATTATTAGCTTTAGTCTAGTCTAAAAATAGAAAACAAAACTAACTTAGCTACTTTATTTATTAATTCAGTAAATATCTGGGTTAAGCAACTCGTTATACAAGATATAAATGACATGTAAACAGAGTTTAGGTATCATCATCCTTGGTTAGGACAGTACATATTATATAGAAATCCTTTTAGAGCATCAGTGGTTTTTTTCAATGATTCTTCTACTATGATTATCATCTCTATCACTTAGAAAAAATATGATAGCAAAATGTTGAGGTACTGTTGTAGTGTGAAATAAATTTTAAAATTTTAAATAAATCAGTCTAAAAATTCTATCACTGAGTTAAGGTGACATGGAGAAAGTGTATTATTTTCTAGGAGTCTGATTAAATCAAGTCGTGCAGACTAGGAAATTAACTTTGATTTGACTTAAATAAAATATTGTTCATATGAAGGTAGGATATTTGGTTAAACCAGCATTGTGACTGTTGGCTCTGCTGTAATGCAGAGTGCAGCACAGGGACAGGCTCTGATCATTAGGAAAATACTGGCTTGCATTGGGTTTTGCTTGTAGCGTGATGTCTCTTAACTGCAAACAGAATTGTGGTTAAGTTGTTGAAATGAAGTTTTAATCAATTTTTATGTATTTTTATTTTATTATTAGGCTATCAGCTGCAAAGGTCAGCACAGTATATCGTACACCCTGTCAAGGAATCAAACTGTGGTGGTCGAGTACACACATGACAAAGACACGGATATGTTTCAGGTAATGTCTTTCTTCTTCAATAGAAATTTTAGCACATATTTCCTGCAATTCTGTATTTTGACGTGTAATCAGAACTTCTAGCACAGTAGTGCTTGTTGATGTCCAAGGGGAAAGAGGTGGAGTCATATAAAAATTATTTCTACTTTGTTTTTGAAAGACTAAGAAAAAACTTAATTCTAAAATTGCAAAAAGAAATTATAAAGCCTGCATTCTCAGATCCCAGTGCAATAAAAACAGACTTCAGTAACAAGAATAAAAATTCTTAAAGCCAGCCACTTTTAAAAACCAACATGTTTAAAATTTTCCTAAATAACACTTGAGTCAAAGAGGACATTAAAACTAAAATTATAGGCTTTTAAAAAAATAACTATGGGAACATTATATAGCAAAACTCATGAGATGTGACCAATGTCGTACTCAGAAGAAAATGTAAAGCCTTAAGTGCTTTCATTATTTAAAGGAAGAAAAGGAGGAAGGAAGTAAGGGAAATAAGCATTTAGCTCAAAAAATTCTTTTAACAAATGACAGTAATTAAGAAAGTACAGACAGATTCAGAAATAGTTTTAGTGGTGTACCATAGAAAGTCCAGAAATATGTCAAAAGAAAGCAGAAGGAAGGAAGTAATAAAGGGGGAAATATCAACTAATTTATAAAGAAGAGAATAATATAGCCAAGATTTGGTATTTAAAAACAATGTAAAATTAAGGCTAATAAAGGAAAAAAGCAAATGAATTGGGAGTGATGAGTCTTTGCATTTCTTTGTGGAGAGTTAAAGTATTAAATAAACGATGCTGAAACAAATGTCAAAAAGGTATCATAGAAACTGACATCAAATAGAGGATAGAAATGGCTCTTAAAAGTAAGAAATTAGGGTGAACTTTGCTTATAAAAAGAGAAATATGAATTGAAATCCCCCAGAGATACCTTTTTCACTTAGCACATGGGCAGAAATCCAAAAGGTTTTGTCAGAGATGTGGGGGAAGCAGACACTGCCCTACATCCCATGAATTGGTATGACCTCTGTGGGGCAGTGATTTGGAAATAAGTATGAAAAATACGAAATGCTTACCTTCTTTGACTCAGCTCTTCTCCCTTCAGAGATTTACCACAGAGATACCTACATACATGTAAAATGATGTTTGTACCAAGTTATTGCTTGAAGCATTGCTTAATGGCAAAAGATTGCAAACAACCTAAATGTCCTTTGGTGGGGGGACCAGTTCAGTAAATTCGAGTACAGCCGTACAGTGAAGGTGGCCAAGACTGTGAAATAACAGGAAAAAGCTCTATGTACAGACACGGAGAGAGCTCCAAACATATTTAATGAATTAAATATTAATATTATTAAATATATTGAGCCATTGATAGTATTATATTCAATTAAGATTACTTAATGTTAATTTTTAATAAATTAATGTTATTAAATATTTTAAACAAACAGTATATTATTATTAAATTAGTATTACTAAATGATTTAAGTCATGCTTATATGCATTAAAAATCTGCAAAAGGATAAATAAGACATGAATAAAGCAGGTGCCTTCGTGAGGAAGGGACTGAGCAGGTGGTGTACAGGGAGGTGTTTCACGCTTCATGATTTTTGAATCATGTGAGTGTTAACTACTTTTAGAAAACTAAACAACTCTAGATAAGAGTCATAGTCATACACATAGACATAGTTAAGTGCCAGTTTGAACTCAAAAGTAAGATTCATCACATTTAGACAAAATATTAACAGTGATTGTGCTCTCCATGACATTTCATTAGTCTTCTAAATGTCTTTTCTTCTCATTCTGCCAAAGAAAATCTCTTTTAAATAAATGTGAGCATATACTTTGTTGTCATTTTTTTTTTTCGCTTCAGGAAGATTTGCCCTGAACTAACATCTGTGCCCGTTTTCCTCTGTTTTATATGTGAGTCACCACGCCTGGGATCCAAACCTGCTAACGCAGGCTACCAAAGCAGAGCATGCCTAACTTAACCAATAGGCCATGGGGCCAGCCCCTCGTTGTCAATATTTTTATGGGACTTCATGATAATTTCTTTTTTTAATACTTTCCAAAATTATATACCTTCAATTTATAAGATTTTTTACTACTGTTTTACATTGAAAGAGAGAATTCTCCATATTAAAAAAGTGAATCAAGAATATCTTACAGTTGTCAGCGGTGCATTTTTTGCCACATAAAACCAATGAGTTACTGTGATGACCCATGTAATTTCACGTGGTGTTCTTTAGTCACAGATTGTGACATAGTGTACTCTTCACTACCGTACGGTCACATTCTACTCAGATTGTTCACTTTCTTCCTTCTCATCTCTGCAAATGTTGACTGAGTTCAAGATTTAGCTGGATTTTTTCAGCTACCTGTTATTTTATGTGTGTCTGTGATGGGAACACAACATGAGATCCACTCTCTTGACAGGTTAAGTGCACGATACAGAATTATAACTGTAGGCACAGTGTTGTACAGCAGATCTCTAGGCTTTGTTCATCTTGCATAACTGAAACTTGATACTGGTTGAACGATTCCTCATGCCCTCAGCCCTGCAGCCAGCGTTCTGCTCTGTTTCTGTGAGTTTGACTATTTTAGATGCCTCGGATAACTGGGACCATGCAGTATTTGTCCATGACTGGCTTATCTCACTTAGCATAATGTCCTCTAGGTTCATCCACCTTCTCGCATGTTGCAGGATTTCCTTCCTTTTTAGAGCTTAATAATGTTCCACTGTATGTAGAGGCCACATTTTCTTTTTCCATTCATCCCTTGATGGCCATTTAGGTAGTCTGCATGTCTTGGCTACTGTGAATAATGCTGTGATGAACATGGGGGGACAGGCAGATAGCTCTTCAAAATCCTGATTTCAGTTCTTTTGTTTAAATACCCAGAAATAGGATTGCTGGATCATGTGGTAGGTTTATTATTAATTTTTTGAGGAACCTTTATACTGTTAGGCACTTCTAAGGGGTTTATGCATACTTCCCATTTCATCACATAGAATATTAAAAGACTCAAGATTTAGTAAAATAAATGACTTTTTGTTGATTCATCAACAGCATACTTAAGTGAAATTGGCGTTTTTTTAGCTACAGGTGCAAGGCAGTGAAGAACACAGCGGCCATTGGTACGCTTGGTGCCCCTGCCTGGACTCCTGCTGAAGCATGTCATTGCTTTAGCACCATTGGAGCGAATGCCACAGAGTGGAGAAGGCACATGGCAGCTTCCTGTTATTGTGGAAGTGACTTTGGCTTCATGGACCTGGGCCCTGGAAAAGGCCTCAGGGACCCTCAGAAGTTCATAGACCACACTCTGAGAAATCCTGATTTATACTATATTAACCTCTTAATTTCATAGTTCAGAAATCTGGGTCTTTGAAAGGCAAAGTAGCTTTAAACTAAGGTCAGAGAAGGCATTTGTGGCAGATCTAAGATTTAGGTCTCCTAAATTCCCCATGCTCTGCATGCTGCCAACTCAGCCTCTAAATAAAATGTGATAGTGCAGCAAGAATTTATAGATTTATTAAGAAAACATAACACGTTTATCATTTTTACTAAAATAATCCGATTCCATTTGCAGACTAACTGGACACATTGGAGGATTAATTTCAGATCACTCTAACAGAGTAGTATTAAGCAACTGTTAGAGGCCCTGAGAAATCAAGCTTGTTGTAATTTTTTCCTCATTTTAACAAGTTTCGATGTCAAAAACCTACCACTGCGTAGAAAGTGCTGCCATGTTCCTATTTCTCAAGCATAGACCTTGGTTTTGAGGGCTATTCATTTTAGCCGTTACTCACTACAATTATTTCTAGGTTAATTGAGCATGTAAAAGCAGAACATCAGAAAGAACCAAAAAAAGGGCCTCATGCTGCGTGCTCCCGCAGGCTCAGAACTTGGGAATTTTATCATCTGAGGAAAAAAAATCAAAACTAGATCTGAATTTAAGGTATGGATTAAGTGTGAGAAAGTCTGAGTTAATGTTTTCAGAATAAGATTTTTGTAAGTATCTTCTAGAATGGGGTAAAGAAAGGAAAGAGACAGGAGTGTAGCTCTTGCGAAAGTAAAATAGAAAGATAAAATAGTTTAGGAAAGGAACCAAAGGAAGTGATGAAATGTGTTACAAGGTCCCTAAAGTGAAGCGTGATGTCAAATGCATTCCGATCATGGGGGTAGGAAGCTGGCCAGGTCCCGAAACCAGTGCTCAGGGGTCTTTTTTCCTCTGATTTCTCAGTTTCACAGTCTTCAAGCTTGGGCGCTGCAGTGCTTTCTGTTTTGGGGTTTTGTTTGGTTTTTAATAAAGTTGGTTCATAGTCATTTTAGATGGTAACATTTAATTAACATCTATTTAGTTAAGAGAAAAATGTTAAGGAATATCTACATTTTTTCCCACTAGTTATTCCTTAAAACAGTGTACATGTTTGTGTGTCTCACGGGGTTCAAGCTCACTGTCCTAATCCTCTATTCATCAGTTTCATTTCTTGAGCACCTACCTTGTGTCAGATGCTCAACTAGTTACTGAGGATGGACAGCCTGGCTCCCGTCTCATGGAGCCTGCATTCCAGAGGAGGCAGACAGGCCTCGAAGGAGCCGGCATTCCAGGCAGAGGAAGCAGTGAGTGCAAGGTCCCAGGCTGGAGCAGAAGCAGGAAGAGGGGAGTGAAGTGAGATGAGCCTGGAGAGGAGGCAGAGGCTGAGAGAGGCAGGGCCTGTAAGCCAAGTAAAGATTTGGGTTTTTCGCACGTGTTTGGGAAGCTGTTGGAGGATGTTAAGCAGGGCAGAGGTGTAATCTGATTTCTATTTCTGTTACTACCTGGAGAAGAATCCAGGTAGTAACTGTGAAATCAGAGACACCAGTTTGGAGACTACAGTGATAATGCAATCCCAGTAAGAGCTGATGGACTGGAACCAAGGCGGGGAAAGTGGGGGTCTGAAGATGGATTTGGAGGTAGAGTTGAAGGACTTATGTGAGGTTCGAGGTGAGTGTGGAAAGAAGTAAAGAATCAAAGATAATTCTTGATCATTGATTTTTTGCTTGAGCAAATTAGATGCCAGTCTGGGAGTTGAAGGGGGATCCAGGTTCTGTGTGGATTGTGTTACATTAGAGATGCTTATTAGACATCAAGTGGAGATTGGGTGTACCAGTCTGAAGCTTGGGGAGAGATCAGGGCTTTTGGCTAATAAATGGGACTTGATGAGATTACCTAGGGAGAGAACGGAAAGAGAAGGAAAAGGGAGTATTTACCAACTCACCTGGAAGGGTTCCGTCATTTTATACCGGATACAGAGGCACCAGGACGTGCTGGCTGACTGTAAGCCTGGAAACCTCCACCAGTGTGGCTCCAGTAGAGCATGGGAGAGCAGCTCAGCTGGAGTGGGTGGAGGGGGGAGGCTCGGGATGCATAAGGAGATGGTGGCAGTAACTAGTGACAGGCTTTTCAAGAAGAATTCCCTAAAGTGAGTCAGAGAAGCAGGCCTGTAGCTTGAGGACTGCTTGCAGGCAATGGAAAATGTTTTTCAAGATGAGGGACTAGTCTAGAACAGTGCTGCTCTCAGTGCTCAGCTGAGCAGTGGAGTGTCTGTTCACAGTACAGAACGAGAAGAGTGGGAATTAAGAGGAGGCGGTTGGAAAGCTTTTATGGCAGTTTGGCACTCCTGCGACATCCAAGCAGATGATCGTTTGTTTATTTGGGGTTTTTTTTGGTTTTTGGGGGTTTTTTTGGTCAGGAAGATGGCCCTGAGCTAACATCTGTTGCCAGTCTTCCTCTTTTTGCTTGAGGAAGATTGTCCCTGAGCTATCATCTGTACCAGTCTTCCCCTGTTTTGTATGTGGGATTCCACCACAGCATCGCTTGATGAGTGGTGTGTAGGTGCACGCCTGGGACCCGAACTGGCGAACCCCGGGCCACCAAAGCGGACTGCTCAAACTTAACCACTATGCCACCAGGCTGGGCCCAGACGATTGCTTTTATAATACTCATTTTTATTGTATTTTTTAAAAGGTGACAAGCTGAAATTTAAAAAACAAGCAAACAAAAAACTGGTCCTTTACCACAGTCGCAGAGTTTGAGAAGCTCAAGAATGTGTTTGGGAGCTGGTGGCATGACCTGGTCTTAAAAGAGAAATCAATGATTCAGGGAGAGAGGAGCAGTGGTGGGAGCAGAATCCTTGGGAAGGAGTGAAGACTGGAGAGACTGGGCCGGGGTAGGAGCAGCGGTCAGACATCCTTGGATGGGGGAAGCCAAAGAGTGAGTTACAGATGCAGGCACGCGGGTAGGATCGGCCCAGGAAAGATAAGGGAGGCCCTTCCAGGTGCTTCAGTACCATCTTACCTGTACTGACTTCTACTGACAGCCAGACAAACCCCAACTTTTCTCATATATACAAAATTTAAAGTGCCAGATGATGCTGTGTCTATGGGTGACAGTAGTAGGGAGTAAAATTCTCCCTGTGGCTTCTTTATGAATATCAGATGAAATTCAGAAACATCTTGGCATATCTGTATGACTGCCCTTAAAATCATGTAGAATTGATCTAATAGTTGAAAGAAAGAACAGGCTCCAAGTTTTCCACTTTGGGTAAGTTTTCAGTAGGAAAGTGGCTAGAATTTTTCCTGGCAAAAGCAACATGAGGTTTGTGTCCTAAAGTATGAAATTATATTGGCCCTCAACAGGTTAGATTTAAATGGAAGTGAATTGATAAACAAATCTTCTATGACCAGTCAGATAAGTATTATGGCTTGAAATAATTGATCCAGGCAGTATGTTCCAGTTGGAATAAAATGTCATGCTTTACAGTCAATTTCAGTTAATTCATCAAGACGTTAATTTAATATATTGGGGTGAACTCAGAATGCGGCCCTTCTAGAAGAGAGTAATCTCTCCAGACAGGGAGCAGTTAGGTGACATTCTGCCAGAGCATGGTTTTAGCTTTGAGCTTAGAACGGAGCTTGAAGTCTCTGCCTCTTCGATGGCGGTTGACAGAAATTAGGATGGAGACTGTGTCATTGTGAGCACACAGGGTTTTGTGTGGGTGACCAGGAAATTTTAGAACTTTTACATTTCACTTGTTGGCTTCATGGGAATACAGCTTCAGGACGGGTTTGTTCCTGACTGTGGAGTAGCCTTTATTTTCTCCTTCAAACCTTGCTATATTTGTGAAATATTTTTCAGTGAGTATTTGTTACTTTTCTAATCTTTTTTTTTAAAGCCTTTTAAAGTGAAATAAGTCAGAGAGAAAGACAAATATTGTATGATATCACTTCTATGTGGAATCTGAAAAAAAGTCAAAGTCATAGAAAGAGAAGAGAAAGGTGGTTGGGTTGTTGGGGCTGGGGGAAATGGGGAGATGTTGGTCTGAGGGTACAAACTTCCAGCTGTAAGATGACTAAGTTCCGGGGATGTACACCATGGTGATTGTAGTTAATAATACTATATTATATACTTGAAAGTAGCTAAGAGAGTCAGTCTTAAAAAAAAAGATTAAAAAAAAAATTAGAGCAGTCTAAATCAGTAGAGCTTCTGAATTATGCGCCAGCTTTTAAATAAATCTAGCAGAGGGAAGATTCTGCAACTTTAGAAAGATGAATTGTATGATATGATTTTATAATACCTCTAATTTAGATTTTGTGTTGCATTTTTAAGGTTACGTGTTTTCTAAACCTGAAATGCATTCATTCAGGCAATATGCAACTATTCAAGTTGATGAGCTTCAGTGAACCCAGCAGTTGAGTTTGTTCCAGGCGCATTTCATTAGTACAAGAAATTAAGGGTGTAAAAAACAAGAGAAAATAGATGTCTGCTGTCTGTTGGTTTCATGGAGAGTCTATGCATGAGAATGTGAGATTTACAAAAGAAATTTAATAATATTGTTCCAGGAAGCAAGCAGAGCTAAATGATACAAGATGGACAGATATATATTTTTTCTCACTTTTATTCACTTGGATAAAAAAAATGTATTACATTGCTTGTGTTTTAGATAAAATTTTGAGATCAGGTTAAAGGTACTGGGAAATTGACTCTTGGGGGCCTTATATCTACACATCTGGGGCCTCTGTGTGTTCCTCCCATTGGCAGCTTCAGAATCAAAGTCACTATTATTAGGAGAGAACATTAATACCGAATTTAGTGAGAAATGATTAGTTCGCATGTAAATGATTTTAGTGTAAGAAGTCTCTTTGGCATATATAATGTTTATCATTGTTTTCTAGTTAGAGATTCATAAAACATCACTACATAAACGTTTTACTGTTCTGTCTTGAGGAGCTCCTTATTTGTAAACAAATACTTCACTCCTCCCAGTTCACAGGACAGAACAGTCCTTGTCTTATTTGCATTTATTGAATATGAAAAGCTTTGTTAGAACTCTAAGATCTTCCTAATGAAATATATTCTTTCTGGCAGCATTTAAACTTACCAAAAAAAGTAAGCCAATATAATAGGCTTGGCAACTTTTTAAAGTTTTCCAAGAGAGTTTTTTAAAATCCACAGTTGAACCTTTCGTTGACTGCGTCGCACCCTTTGCCGCGGCCCCGCAGCCCTCTGCTGTGCGCTGGGGGACGCCCCGTCGGCCGGGGCTCCTCTCCTCTGCGCTCTGAACCCCTGGTGGAGTCGCTACTCGGGGAGACTGTCCCTGGAGCTGGCAGGAGTGGGGGCGAGAGCTCCTTTGTCTGTTGGCTTCCTTTAAAATCTTGCTTTTTTCCACCTGGAACTACCAAAAAAAAGAAAAAGATTTGCTGTGAAAGTAATCTTTGTACGTGGTCCAAGAGATGAAGTCTGTTTGGGGGGTAAGATCTGTTTTCCTCGAGTGTAGAAAACTGAGCTTTTCTCTGAGCATTTAAAATCTGATGGTTGGTTACTGTGATATCTCCCTGAGTTAGAAAAGGGGCAGAACTGAACATTTTTTCGTTAAATTCTGACCTTCAGAGCAGAGATAATAAACGTTGAAGAAATCCTGAGTGAACAGAATATGGTGGCATGGTGTTTTTCAAGTGACTCATGAGTGTATTTGGCTTATTTAGGTGGGCAGATCAACAGAAAGCCCTATTGACTTCGTGGTGACGGACACGATCTCGGGCAGTCAGAACAACGACGAGGCGCAGGTCACGCAGAGCACCATCTCCAGGTTTGCCTGCAGGATTGTCTGTGACAGGAGCGAGCCCTACACAGCGCGCATATTTGCAGCCGGATTCGACTCCTCCAAAAACATATTTCTTGGAGTAAGTACTATTAATAAGAACATTGTTTCAAGAAAAACATCCATTGTTCTCATATGTCATGTTTAATTGTGGCCAAAAAATTTGCTTCACACAATGCCTCTAGTTAGATTTTGAGATTTGACTTTTCAGATGGCCAGTTGGAAAAGCTGTTATCAAAAATCTAAAAAGTCGTTATTTGTTATATTTGCTACATTGATTATAATATGTACAGTAATTACTTTTTTGAAGTATTTATATTCACATTGTACATAATGTATTTATGGTAAATTTAAGGGGCTTTATTTCAGAGGAAAAAATGAATGGTCAAATCTAGATAAATTAGGGTTCAAAGGAAGATGTTACTTATTCATTCGTTCATTCAAGACATTTTTATTGGGTGTTCGCTGTATTTGGTGTTGGGTGTTACAGATGGCATATCACAGAGAACAGAACAGAGTAAAAGGCTCTGCCTTTGTAGGGTTTCCAGGTAAATGAAACCCAAAAGTTTTAGTGAATATTCGGTTTTAATATAGTTGCTTTTTGAGTCATGATATTTTTGCAGGAAAAAAACACTCAAAGTGTCCTAAAAAATAATAAAAATGTATTCTCTCATGGTATAAGAAGCACCAAGGAGGGCCAGCTGCAGCCATGGTTGATTCAGGGGTTCTGTGACATCCAGGGAACCAGGTTCCCTCTGTCTTGCCCTCTGCCTCTGCATGTCAGCATCCCCGGCGAGGTCTTCCCGTGGGTCAGAGACGGCTCCTGCATGGCCCCGTGTCCCCGTGGCGCGCAGCTGCTGGCTAAAGGAGGCAGCCAGGCCCCATTCTGCCTTGCTCTCTGCAGTCCAGAACGCCGCCCAGAAGACTCAACCCTGTCTCCTTGGCCAGCGCTCAGTCATGTGCCCCCACTAACCAGTCACTGGCCGAGGGTCTGAGTGTAAACCAGGATTTACCCCTGAGTCACATGAAAACATCTGGCTCTGTCCCCAAGAAAGAAGAGAGAAATCACTGTGGCGCAGGGGTGCAAGAATGTCTGTCCTGCGGCGAGCTTCCGCTTTTGAGGACAGAAACACTGATTTGTATGAAAAAAGAGGGGCCACAGCTTGTTGGCTGAACGTTTTTGGAAATTTTGTGTGTTTAATAAAAATTCTTGTTTTTTTCCTGTTTGTATGCTTCCCTGTAATGAGTTCATATAAAGCATTTTTAGATAGTCGGATGACAGCACTGCACAAACAGAACTGAAGAATACATGCCAGATTCCTGGAGTTGTGGGGGGAGGGTTGAAAAGACTCCCTGAGGGAGAGGCCCCCGGGCATTTAAGCTCCCGAGATAGATATCGTGTATCCAGTGATCAGTCATTCATCCATTTTAGCATTTCTTTCACAGTGTTGGACTAATTGCATATTTTATCCTTCTGATTATTAGCTTGAAACAGAAAATGAAAATTCATCACTTTCCTCTCCTCTGCCCCTCGTCAATACTTTGAAGAGATCCTAGAATCCGTTCATTTTGAACGTAATCTGAGCATGCTTTTTCCGTTCTGTGGTATCCTCTCCAGGAAAAAGCAGCAAAATGGAAAAACCCCGACGGCCACATGGATGGGCTCACTACCAACGGTGTGCTGGTGATGCATCCGCGAGGGGGCTTCACCGAGGAGTCCCAGCCCGGGGTCTGGCGCGAGATCTCCGTTTGCGGAGACGTGTACACCTTGCGAGAAACCAGGTCGGCCCAGCAAAGGGGAAAGCTGGTGAGTGGGCTTCACTCTGGAAAATGTACCAAACTACAAAACCCTAACTCCAGGACTGTCCTTCTCCTGCCCTGAAATTCAGAACCTTCCACAGGTACGGCGCTATGTACCCTGACCCAGAAGAGTGGGAATTCCACCCGCCCCTGAAAGTAAGCGGGACGTGGCCTCGTGTCCTTTAATGGTCAGACTCTTCCTAGAGTGGAAGAAAATGGTCTTTTGCTCCTTTACTACCTTAAGAGCATACATAATTTATTATATACTTCTCTACAAAATTCTGCTTAAGTTCACTTTAAGAAGAATAAACTTATTTTCAGTATAAAACTTTACTAATTTGGAAAAATCCTGAGTGATCCAAGACTAATTAGTGAAAATCATGAATTGCAGAATTATTTACTAGACTTCCTGGAACTAAAAGATAATTAAGTTAGCTTTGTTTCCCCTGAGTTCGTAGTAAGAAATTAATACATAATTCCCTATATAATTCACCAAAATTATATTTGCAGCTTTTTATTTGAAATAATTCACATAGTGCATTGATTTGGCATGTTAATATTTTCCTATAAATATTACTACTTATCTCAAAAGCCCCAAAGCAGCTGGTTTTTTAACCCTCTCTTCTGTGGAGAATAATTTTAATACCTTAAATGGGAAGCTTTGGGTTTCTGATCCTGCCATAGCTGTGTGGCCCAGTGCCAAAAGGTTCTTAGTAAACTTTCCTCTCCAGTACTTTTAATTAATTGTTGTTAGACAGAAGCTAGAACAAGAGAGGACAAATGTTTCCTTCGAAACCCCGCAGAAAAAATATAGGGAAGAGAGGCTGTGATCTAGCATCTTGCAGAGAGAAAGATGATAGGCAGAGGTTTCTAAGATGGAGGAAGATGGGAGACTGTTTTACTAACCTGGTTAGCTGTTCTTTATTGGATGTTTGTTTTTAGGGACTTATTTTTATTTCTATTTTACACCATTATCCAGCTGTAGGTACGGCTTCTGCGTTTTACGATAAAGCCCAGTTTTGGAGCATCATGGCTGAGTAAAAATGAGAAGCATCTTCTAAGAAAGGCCAAGCAATTTCTATAAACTTTGTTTAAACACTTTTCAAGAGATTTTAAATAGGGAAGAAAATGTGAAAGCAGTTTTTCCAAATAACTTTTCATTTTTGATCATTGGATAATTCTATACAAAACTGACCAGGTTGGCCGAACTGGTTATTAATCATTATAACAGCAACAGTAAGAAACCAGTAAATGGTCGGTGGCTGCAGGCCGTGCATTGACATTTCAGAGATGTCAGCTCATTTAATCTGCACAGCAGCCTGTCAGGGATGTGGAATGGTCCCCTCTTTATGGATGAGGAAGGGGAGGCGTAGAGAAGGCAAATATTGCCCAGTGTCGCAGAGTTAGAAGGTGGCAGCAGATGGGATTGGAACTCAGGTCCCCGGATTGAGAGTCTGGACTCCTGTCTGCCACTCAGTACCCTCTTGTGGGAGTCACACCTGGCTCTCACCCGGGATGGTTCACACCAGGGCCTTTGCCTCCCTGGATAATGATAAAGCATAGGCTGGAAGCCACCAAGGGCTCGTTTGTGCAGGAGGGCAACCCATGGGATGATTTTCTCCCCCCTCTGGTGACTGTGTAGTGACAAGCTCAGGCAGCTGTGTATGCCAGAGAAAATTGCAGTGCTCCTGAAAAGAAGCAATTCCAAAAATAGCTTGTATCAATGGGTTGTATTAAATCTAGACTAATTTGAAGTTATCCCTGTCAGCGCCCCTTAGATCGCCAACAAGCTGTGCTGTACTGTTTGATATTGTATGACTGACCTGCCCAATAATGACGGTCCCCAGGTTTCTATCAGTCTGATCTTGGGCTTGTGGGAGATGATGCTGTGGAGAACAAGGGACTGACCCTCCCTGCATGCCCTCTTGTTAACCTGAAGAATAGTCTGTCTCTGTCCAAGATGAAAACCTACTGATTGTCTGCGTTTCTGTTTCCATGTATGACTCTCTGGTCCTGTGCATGTTGCTAGTAGCATTTGATAGAAATTGTGTGTATCTGGAGATTAGATTTGGGGAACAGTCTCTGGCAGAAGACTTCATTTGCAGTTTAATATAAAAATATGGAGAAGAAAGTGATCTTCCAGAAGTCCAGAATCTTTGTTTCTTATGACAGGGGTAGATGCCACTGTTCTCAGTGTGAGGTCTTGTATTAATACCATACTCAGCATTTAACGTGGATCAATATACTAATGTGTTTTTAACAACAAATCACTGTGGTTTCTCGTCATTACAGCAAATGAGGAAACACTTTGTACTTGATCAACACAATTAAGTAAATGTGGGAGAAACATCTTTTCATCAGCTTAACCCCCTGAGTAAATAAATAGGTGAATGGACTTTGTGTCCTACTCATTGACCTAGTTGATGACAACATATAGTAACACTTATGATATTGCTCTAGTAGACTCTTGAGTATTTTATCAAATTATATTTGAGGTATTTTATTAAACTATCGTGGCTTTGTGTAAAATTAAGTACGTTCAGTTAAGTTGATTTGCTTACTTAATTTTAGGTCAAATTATAAAAGTAGCCCTAGTGTTACTGCGTGCGGGCTCTGGCAAGCGCTTTACGGTACTTTGCTCTCGGGCGACACTGGAGCAGCCCTGTGAGTCAGTGTTGACAGTGTTCCCGCTCACAGATCAGGATGGTGAAGTCACCTGTGTATAAGTGGTGGTTGGGGGTTTTAATTCTCTGCACTGAGCTCAGCTGTGTGACATGTAGGGGCCATTCTGTTTCAGCTGTCTCCTACTTACACAACACTGTCCATTCCTGGTACCTTCTCCTTGCCTTTTTCTTTTCGGTAGAGTTTAAAAAATATAATCCAAAGCCTTGCCTCTGCACAACTGTATCTTCACGGGGCTGCCTCCCACACACTGTACTCTGGAGAAACACTACACAGATAAAGGGAGCACACAAGAATAGCAGGTGAGAAGGGAACCGGGCTGCTGTTTGAGCAGCACTGGATATTAATGGTTCTAAAGTCAGGCCAGAGGCCCAAGGCCTGGTTCCACTACTTAGTAGCTCTGTGTTTTGAATCAATGACTTGCCCTCTCCGTGCCTGGCTTCACATCTGTTATATTGGAATAATGCTAGTGCATGTTTTGTAGGATTGTTGTGGGAACTAAGTAAGGATTGGAGCCGTGCTGTCCACAGTAACTGACCATAGTTGGTTAGTTCTTATGACTAAGCCGGGGCTGGGGGCTGGGAGCTGGGGCTCCAGCAGTGAACAGATGCCCAGCGTTCTGCCCTCAAACTGTCATCTGGAGAAGGTCAGAGACGGAGGCAGCAAACCATTAGGATATTGTGTGATGAGCACAGTCATAGAGAAAGTACCAGAAGGTACAGGAGTCCCTTGGAGGAACACCTATCTTAGACATGGGGGTCAAGAACATGTAAAAAATAAAAGACCATAGACTCAGAATTTGTGATGAGATCTTGTTGTTTACCAAGAACTTCCGTGCAAGAAGAAAGAAGGGGTGTTGACAGCGAGGCCACTACCAAACCCCAGTTTCTTGCCACGTCAGAATTATTGTCTTAGACACGGTCACGTGCTGTGCGCGAGCTCCTCTGAGCTTGCCCTGCGGTCAACGGGCAGGGAGCCTCCAGATGCCAGGGAGAGGGGAGGAGACGGGGGCGCGAGCGGCGGGGAGCCTTGGCCGCCGGGTTCTGCCTGTTCAGTATTAAGGTTTATCATTTAGTTGGGTCTTGAACTTTTTCCAGCTACTAATATTTGGTACTTTCTTGTGAGAGAGGGGCTGCCTTTTTCATCAGAGGAGAACTTCAGGGCAAAGTGACATCCAGTGAGACCTAGGTGGCGAGTGGAAGTTGGCCAGGCCGAGGGGCGGCCTTGGGGCAGGCTGGGCTGTGATGGAGAATTCGGGTGAGGGGGCTCTTACGCATGCCCGTGGGCGTCCGCCTGAGTGCACCTCAGACTCGGCCGCGAGCCCCTCGGTGCAGGGCAGCCTCGGTCACCCTAGAAAAGGCAGGAGCTGCACCGCGGGACTCAACGGGTGCCCGGCGAATGACACTTGAGCTTGTGAAGGAGTTTGGGCTTCGTCCTGAGGGCGGTGAACAGCCAGCAGTGCCTTTGGGTCAGAGAATGACAAAACTTCTATTCTTCCTGTACGTCTCTCCCCTTTATGTGGTTCTTTTCCTCTGCCCAGCCTTGGTGGGATGCCCTGGCTTTGTCCTTGAAGGAGCCTGGCAGGGCAGTATCATTCGCTTCACCCAGGTGCTGATAAATCCAGTGGCCTTCCGCAAGCCACCTGTCTCCCGCGCTGCAGTCCCACATGGCCCTCATGCATCCCCACTGCAGGCTGACCCTCAGACTAGTCACACCCAAACCAAACTTACCATGTTTTCCCCAAAGTCTGCGTCTCTCCTAGATTCCCCGTCTGGGGACAGCTCCATTGTGTCTGGACAGTAAGGCAGGTGTGTAAAGGTCTTCCTTCCCAAAGCTGGCGCTAAGGGCTGTTGCGTCTCATTCCTCAACGGTTAATACCCATGCCTCCTCTGTGGCGCTGACATTCCCTTTGTGCAGGTGCTCCTGCCCTCTTTGCCTGGAGAGGGAACTCCCACTGTCTCCCCACCTGTAGTCTTGTACCCGTCCAGTCCATTCTCCTCTCTTCTGGAAGTGACCTTTGGAAAGGCAGATCTGGTCTTTCATAGTTGCCTGGAAGTCCCCATTGACTCCCTTGGGGCACACGAGGCCAGCTGCCCTCTCCCATCTGGGTGTGGCATCCGCCCCAGCACGCCCTGCGCTCCATCCAGCTGTGTTCACATCTCCTTGTCACACACCTTGTTCCCTCAGTGCACATGCCGTTTGGCCTTTTCATGGCTCTTTGTGCTGTGCCTTATCTCCCATTCACTGACTCCTGACAGCATCTTTTTCAAATCTCTGTTTAAGAAAAACCCTTTTGAAAACCGTTTCTGACCTTCTCTTATCACCAGAGTAACAGTAACAAACGCTTCCATAGTTCTTACTGCCTGCCAGCCGTTGTTCTAAGAACTTTCTTTGTATTAACTTATTTAACCCTCACGATCTGCTTGTCTGCGTTTTATGGATGGGGACCCTGAGGCACAGGGAGCTTAGGTAACTGCGCAAGGTCACAGAGCTAGTACGTGACAGAGCCAAGATTCAAACCCAGCAGTCAGCTCCAGAGTCCGTGCTCCTGGCTGCGGGGGTGACGTGGCCTCGCACAGCACTTGATGACTGTCGCTGGCTGCTGCTTCTAGCGTGTCTGCCTCCCACTCTGAAGAACGAGGCTCCTCGGGTGGGGAGGAGGTTTCATTGGTCTTTGTGCCCCTGGGGCTCAAAGCACATGCTGCACATGGAGGCAGCGGTCAGATCCCTACTGACCATGTCCAGCTGCTTCTCATCAGCTGTTGATGGGTCTGTCAGTACTTGGTCATAGCACAGCCATCCTTAATCTGAAGGCTCAGAGTGAGCGCTATGCCTAGACCTTAGGAATGCAGGGTAAAAGGTAGATTGCCTGACAGTCAGGGTCCCCAGGAGTTGTTTGGACCACTGTAGTAATTACTGCAGGGCCCTACAGGGTCTGCTGGACGGGCTCTGGTCAGAAAGAGTATGAACCTTCACTGGATGGACTGGTACGCCTCTCCTGTCCCGTGTGAGATCAAAGAGTAATTGTGTTATTGACTTAGGAGGAAACAAACGTGCAAGGAGATTGTGTTCGTTAGAATAACCACTCCATCAATTGACCCTGTAAACCTCAGTATGTTGTTCATTAGGGCTTGTGCACATGGCCTGTGTGTATGTGTTATATCCCATGTTCAAATGAGGAAACCGAGGCTCAGGGAGGATGTTCCCCCAAGTCCTGTTTTTAGTAAATAAACCGCCACCCTGTGTTTTCTGCAAAGATGATTTTTGTTTGTTCTGAGAGGAAAGAATGTTAGAGTGATTTGATGAATTTTGCTGTTAAAAGGGATGTCTGTCAAACTTGTCGTAGGTGGAAAGTGAAACCAATGTCCTGCAGGACGGCTCCCTCATCGACCTGTGTGGGGCCACTCTTCTCTGGAGAACGGCAGATGGCCTCTTTCACGCTCCAACTCAGAAACACATAGAAGCGCTGCGGCAGGAGATCAACGCCGCGCGGCCGCAGTGCCCCGTGGGGCTCAACACCCTGGCCTTCCCCAGCATCAACAGGAAGGACGTGGTGGAGGAGAAGCAGCCCTGGGCATACCTCAGCTGCGGCCACGTGCACGGGTACCACAACTGGGGCCACCGGAGCGACACGGAGGCCAACGAGAGGGAGTGTCCCATGTGCAGGACTGTGGGCCCCTACGTCCCTCTCTGGCTCGGCTGCGAGGCTGGGTTTTATGTAGACGCAGGACCACCAACTCACGCTTTCACCCCTTGTGGACACGTGTGCTCAGAGAAGTCTGCAAAATACTGGTCTCAGATTCCGCTGCCTCATGGAACTCACGCCTTTCACGCTGCCTGCCCTTTCTGTGCCACGCAGCTGGTTGGGGAACAGAACTGCATCAAATTAATTTTCCAAGGTCCAGTTGACTGATGCCCTTGACAGCCATTTCTGACTTTATTAACAAGTTACTGTGAAAATTTTGCCACTAACTCTAGATTTTACCTTTTTATAATGCTGTTTATTAAGGGGAAGGGAACCTGAGGCTGGGAAAAAAGAGGGGACACATGATGAAACATGCCAGGAATTTGACAGATGCCAGTGGTGTGTTGCATGCACAAAACAGCAGCATTGTCATTGCAGTCTGCTTGATTAAACCATACTGTCTTTATAATAATCGGATTTAAGATGCCATGCTCTTATTTTAACCTTGGGTTTTAAACAAGTGTTTTCCTTTGTAGACTTGGACAGGACTTGAAATCATATTTTACAAACGTAGATGAAATTTATTCAACACTTGTTGGCTCTTAATGCGCAGCTTCCGTGCTGCGTGGTGTGGTGGTGTGGGTGTCGGCAGGAAGACGTGCAGTGTCTGGAGGTGCTTGAGCCAGGCTGGAATCTGACCAGTTCCGAGGGCGGCTCCACAACGTGTTGTTGGTGGATGGAGACCTTAGGTACAGGTGGTGGTTTTGAAATCTGGGCTTATTTTTGATTTTTTCTTTTTGGGGAGATAATATTCTTGTGTTGTCATGTTTTCTTTTTTTTAGCTTCGGTGCTTTATACACATATTCATTAAATACCTTGGCATTTCAAACAGAGAATTTTCCATAGCTTTTTAGTCTGCCTTTGTTATTTCTGTGTGCTATGGTCTGTCCCTGATGCTCACCTTGCATAGCCAGAACTGTGTGGTTGATTAAAAGATAGCAGCTTTTAAAAATTCACTGAGGGTGATTGTTGCAGCAGCAAACATGGCCTAGGTACATAATATCAAGTTTATTTGCTTACTGAATTGTTTAAGATTTGAGTGATTAAAAATAAGATTTTACTTTTTAAAACCACTTGTTGGGGTTCCTTAAGTTTTTTTTTTCTTCCTTAAGAAAGCCAAAATTCTGTGAGCCTAAAAGTAACATATCACAATGTTACAGTCGTTTTTGTTACTCCCTTTCCACCATCTGTCACCTTCCCTCGCAGCTTACGGAGCCCTGTTAAGTTTCGAAAATGTTTGCAAATCAAACTAAATTTTAATGTGATCCTTAGATGTACACAATGCCAAGTGGTACATCTGCAGAGATAATTTGAAATTCCTGATTTCGAGAGAGTAAATGAGTGTTTACTGAGGAATAATTAAATCAGAATTTCATATGAGCTTCACCATCCTTCTCTGTTAGTCTCATTTCATGTTGAATAATGGTTCTTGGATGCTCGTTCTCTGCTTGGTACCAGCAGTGTCACTGCTCCCAGAGCGTCAAGATCCTTTAGGACGGGAGGCTGCCAGAGCTGGCTGAGAGGACGTAGATCCCTGCCACGTGCAGCACATGTTTATTTAAACTAACATTCTCTTAAACTGACCATTGCAGGTTTGTGCTACGTTTTTTTAACCTTTGTAAAGATATATAATTTATATGATTTTAATATACTGTATCCATACTTGAATTGGTGTATCCATGTTTTGCCTACTGGCAAATATTTTGCCTTTTTGCAGTTGTTCCAACCCATTTTGAATGTCCTTTTTCTTAAAGTGGTAAGATGTATTACTCTTGATTACTGCTGCTTAATTTGACTTAATAGATAAAAAGTTCAGCCTCGTAGTTTTAAAATAGCTTTACTTTTCAATGGAGAGTGTTGTTTAGGATGAGGCGTTTTCGTTTTGGTAATTTTTAAGTGATGTGAAAATCCACCAGCAGTCCTCTTATCAGTAGCTTACTCTACTCTGTATAGCTTATTCTGCCTGCAGACAGAAAGTGAAAGAGAAAAGTGGAATTGCCTAGAGTGACATATTGAACGCCTTGTGATTTAGCCAGCGTCTCCAGTGACCAGCCTTCACTGATAGAGGGAGTCTTTTCAGTTGGGATTCTTTGGGCCCCACAGAATGAGAAAGGAGGTGCATGGTCCCTTTTCTTGCTATATGGCTATTTAAGGTGGTTTGAGGAGCCTTGATACCCTAAAAGCACCTTGTAAATAGTCTTGCATCCAGAAAGGCTGGATTTTACCCATCAAAAAAATTTTATGTTCTGCTATAATTTTCCACTTCAACAACTATCCATAAATCTAGTAATTCCGCATGCAACATATGCCCCAAAATAAAGCTATCTTCCAACCTGGAAAAATTTCTGATTTTTAGTAAGCTCAGATAGCTTGGTGGAAGTTGGAATTTGGGTAATAAATTCCAAGCTCTTGGAAGGGGTAAGAGTGAACCGCCCTCTGTCAGAGCCACATCTTGTCCTTTGACTCCCAGGCGAGGGCCCTCCCACACTGCCTCGGGAGCCGCAGAGAGGTGGCCAGTTTGCAAAAAGGAAACCGTGCTTACCTTGGCCACCTGTAGTAAGATCCCCTTATAATTTTGGCTAATGAGATTTTTTTTTTTTAAGAGTTGAGAGTAATTTAGTTTGTGAGAACCAAGAACTCTAGCTCACCAAAATAGAGTAATAAGTTCAGAAAAGGTCACTTCTAAAGGTCGCCTTCTGTGTTTATGTCTTGCTTGCCATCCAGTTACGGGGGCGGCCCGCTCCCCCTGGTGTGTGCACATGAGAATGCCCACCACGCCCTGATCTAGGCCTCACCAAAGGCCTTTTGTGAACAGGTTTCCAGCAGTAAGGCCCCAGTGATGTATTCCCATAGATATTACTTTTTCAGTTGTTTATGTCAGTTTACTACAGAAAAAAAATGATTCAGAGTAGATGGGATACAAGTCTGAATATTTTCCTAGTCTGGAATTATTTTGTTATTAATGATAGTGCTGCCGGGTCATGCGTGCTCCAACTCTTAACATTTCCCTTACTTGGTTCCGCCTTTTGCAAAAAGGGCTGCAGTTCACACTCCAGACTAAGTATTAGGCTTTCTGGTTTTTTTTTTTCCCCCAACTGTGGCCCAAAACAATTAAAGTCTTTTAATATAAATAGAGAGCATATTTATCATTCCTCGATAGTTAATTATAGAGTTTGGTACCTTTGTGCCTCAGGGAAGCCACATAATATAGCTGGTTATAGAATTTCAGGGTTAGGGTTTAAAGAAAGGAGAAAGCCATTGGAAAAGTGATGGGCTCCATTAAGGAGACTAATGAATCCGGATGCAGAAATATGCCAGAAACTGGCATACACGTGATTGTAGTAGAATTTATTTCCAGTATCAATAGGGAAATTATTTTAAGTTATTACATATTCTGTATTAGGAAAGTTGAGGAGAACTCTCTGCATAAAGCTTCATTGCTTTATTTTTGCTTACATAAACTCAAACTCCTGTTATTTGGGAGCTCAGTATTGTTATTTGGGCACTTTTGAGAGTTTAAAAGGAGCACGGTTTCTCCTTAATTTAAGTGTAACATAGGTTACAGAACTGTTACCTGCCGTTCTATGATTTTGATCAACTTCTTTTGTGTTTTAAAGCCATTCTGTTCTTTGGATTCACGTGAAAGGATGTATGATCACACCATTGTTAAAGCCGGCTAAAAACTAGTTATCCTCACGCAGTCCTGCCTGATAACAGTGGAATTTCTGGTGGACAAACCCCAGAACCTTGATTTTCAGGCAGATCCAGCTCCATTCCCGTGGCTGTTGATCTTCTCTCCCCATCGTTTCTCAGCCTTCCTGGGCTGCGAGAGGGAAGTTCCTCATTCAGTGCTGGGCACGGAGCACGGCCCCGTCACCGTTTGTGACCCGGGCAAAAGCCAGTGAGACAGTCCAGGATCTGTTCAAAGAATGTAAGCATTATTGAAGCAGTCAAACAAGAGAAAGGTTCAGTGTTTCTTTTTACTAAAACTGACTGACTTCCTCTCAAGTTGGTTTTCACCCTCGTGAAGGATCCCTAGAGGAAGATGGGGACAGACACTACTTTTCCAGTTCTGCTTCACTGTTTCTAAACAAACAAAAGTAAACTGAAAAGGGAAGTTGTTTTCTTTCTAACCGAGATGACAGATTGCTTCTCTGTGTTAAATAGTCTAGCAGTAAAGCGGGTGGTCCTATTTACCATGTATGGTGTTATGAGCAGTTAAATTTTATGGATATATTTGTAAGACTGTTCTTTTTATATTTCATGTCAAATTGAAAAGTTTATTTCTTCACTATTGTACCTGTGGAAATACAAGCCATTTTACAGGAAGAATCTTCAAAAACTATTAAACAGATCTCAGTATATTTGTGAGTCTTTGTCTTCAGACTGTGGTTGTGCTGTGTTCATCGGGACATTCAGTAGGGTGTCGATAGAAAAGTAGACTTGATTTTTGCATTTCTCCAACTTCCTAGTTCATCCCAAACAGTTGACTCTATTACTGTTTTATATTCTGCACAGTACAAATTTAAGTCTGGATTCTGAAAATCTCCTTAATTGTTTTGTTAAAGAAATTCCATTGGTGTTTATGTTACTACTTCTTGTAACATTACATCACTGTCAAATGTAACTGGAGAATTTAACCTGGCTTGTAGAGTTAATAGATGTTCTTCGTGATCATCATAGACATATTGCTACTTTTGTGACAATCTTCATTCACTTTTAACAACGTAAGTATTGTGTGTAAGCCTTCAAGCCTTAAACGAATCATAAGAAAATAGATGTATTTATGACAGCTCTTTTTCTCATGATGCTGATATTCAAGGATTCTTAATATTGTTGAGGGAAATCAAGTTTTTATTTCCAAAAAATGGAAATTCACATTTATATAGGCTTTTATTTCAGGAGTTAAGTGTTCCATACTTTATTGAATCTAAGATGCCATGAATTATAAGACATGTTATTATAGAAAAACATAACCAGTTACAATTATAAGAAAAATCCCATTCTACAAAGATGCAAAGACTGTTTAATAGGGAAAGAATAGTGTTTTCAACACATGGAACTGGAAACAGCTAGATACCCACATGCAAAACAATGAAGTGCAAAAATTAGCAAAAAATGGATCGGAGAGCTAAAACTATATGACTCTTAGAAAAAACACATAGTAAATGTTTGTGATCTTGAATTAGTCAATGATTTCTTAAATATAACACCAAAAAACAATAAAAGAAAAAGATAAATTCGACTCATCAAAATTAAAATGTTTTGTGCTTCAAAGGACACTGTCGAGAAAGTAAAAACCCACAAAATGGGAGAAAACATTTGGAGATCATGTATCTGATGAGGGATTTGTATCCAGAATATATGAAGAACTCTTATAGCTCATCAATAGACAACCCAGTTAAGAAATGGTCAAAAGATTTGAATACGTATTTTTCCGAAGAAAAAGTACAAATAAGCACAGAGAAAGATGCTCAACATCATTAACCATTAGAGGAATGCAAATTAAAGCCATAAGATATTACTTTATACCCACTAGGATGTCTAAAGTCAAAAACAAAGACAATCACAAGTGTTGACAATGTGTTGAAAAATTGGAAACCTTATACACTGTTGGTGGGATTGTAAATGGGGCAGCTGCTTTGGAACAAACAGTTTGACAGTTCCTCAAAAGGTAAAATAGACAGTTACCATGTGACCCAGCATTTCCACTCCTACGTATGTACCCAAAAGAATTGAAAGCATTTTCACACAAAAACTCATCCATGAATGTTCATAGCAGCATCACTCACAGTAGCCAAAAAAGTAGAAACAACCCAAAAGTCCATCAGCTGATGAATGTGTAAACAAAATGTGGTATATCCATACGATAGAATATTATTCAGCTATAAAAATGAAGTACTGATACATACTACGACAAGGATGAACTTTGAAAGCATGCTAAGTGAAAGACGCCAGACACAGTAGGTCACATGTATGTCAGAGGCAAATTCACAGAGACAGAAAGTAGATTAGTGGTTGCTAGACGTCGAGCAGAGAGAGGATATAAGGAGTGATTACTACATGATTACTTTCGTGATTGCACGAAAATGTTCTAAAGGCATATGGTCATGATGGTTGCACGAAAAGTCACTGAATTGTACACTTTAAAAGGGTGACTTATGGTATGTGAATTATGTCTCAAAACTTATTTTAAAAAAGATACATACTAAATTCAGAGATATTAGATTGTGAAAAAATTTGCATCTTAGAATTGAAATGGAGTGCCATAGTCTTTCAGATGAAAATATCCAGGATCCTCTAACTTTTGCCTACCTTGAGATGTTTTCCAGTCTTAGAACATTTTTGGCTTATTCCTTTCCATCATACTTCCAGTAGCCATTAGAGGAAGAAAACATACACATAAGACTGCTAAAAAGATTAGAAGACAACCTCATATTCAATTGACTGCCTTTTTTGCGTTATTAGGATGAAAAAGTAGAAATACAACGCTATTTCTGAAAGAATAGAATTGATACTGTGGAAGAATAGAATGCTATTCTGAGGCCTCAAAATCCACTCTTTAAAAAGGACTTTTGTAAATGAAAACTTTTATAATCAAAATAAAAACCAATAGAGGACCATTGTAAAAAATTTAAAACCTGGCAAGTATAAAGAATAAAAGTTATACCCATCACCGAGAGATAAACACTGTTAATACTTGGAAGTATATATTCCTAAACTTAAAGGAATTTTTAATTGTGACTTCAATTTTATTCTGGTCTTAGTTATTTAATTACAAAGACTGTTTTATATAAGTTTTGAAATGTGGCTTTGGGAACAGAGGGAAAAATTATGACTTGTGTGTCTTTAGTGGGTTTCTCAGTAAGCAGCTGCAGAGGAAGTTCTTTCTTCCAGGGCACAAAATGTGTCTGAGGCTGGCAGAATGACACCGTGGTGGTTATGGCTGCCAAAGCTAAGAAAACTGCTCTCAAACTGTTGAATTCCCCTGAACGCTCACTACCAGTAATGAGACGTGCATTGGAGTGTCCAATGGACGTTCCTTCTTTTGTCTTCTAAACAGGTTCGAGTTGAAGAATGTTAAGGTTATTCTTATTAGTTAAAAGAGGTATAATGGACTCTTCCTGGCCTAATTCCAGCTTCGAACTTGAGCTTACATCAGAGTGCCCTGAGGTGTTTGCTTAAAATGCAGATTCCTCAGCTACATCTGCAGAGGCTGACGATAATGCACTGGTTTTCTAGATCTCTCCAGGAATTTACACTGTGGACAATCTAGATGACCCTGCAGGTGATCCATATTCCATGCTTTGAGAAATTCTTCAACTCAACAATTCTATCGATTGTATGCCTCTGCAGTGCAAGTTAAGGGTTAAAGATGAGAGTTATACATAACTCTAGGAGCTTACTGAGTTCTTAAAATTGTTTAACATGATGGAAACTTGCCATGCATCAGCAAACTGGGTGTCATCACAGCACGTTTCACAGGCTTTGGGTTCCTACCATCTAGTGATGTATTTCTAATAAAACTTGGAAAGGGAAATGTTTTTAATTCCAGACGTTGATTTCTGAATACAGTCTGGAAATATACTGCTATTCAGATTCATTGGGTTAAATGGATGGGCAAGTATTTCCTCATCTATGAAATAGAAGTGAAAATGGTGCTTCTACTCCTTAGAGATGTGAAGGTAACATATATATCCTTGATGGTGCATAATAAGCACTTATTAAATGATAGGAGTTTATATTGTTCCCCTGCAGGACATTTCCCAGTATGTCATCTTCAGACCTTAAGTCCCAGAAACTATTCTGAAAAAAAAGCCATGTAACCTTAAACCTTTGGAAATAATCTAGTACATCCCAAATTTATTTGATGACAGACTCCCTTTTTTCCCATATAATGTATTTTAAATTCTTGGGGAGTGCTATAATTGATAGGCTTTAAACATTATGGACCTATTGCACACATTCTCAAAATTACTTTTATTTTAAATAAAACAAATGAGCTTGAGCCCAGTGTTGACCATTGCTATTCATATAGTTCTAAACCCTAATCTTTAAAGGAATATACTATTGTTGCTTATGCACAGCTCTGTACCACAGCCTCTATGACTTAAAACATTTTAATATGTTTTATGCTGATGATCATGTAATGATATTATTTTATGAAAAGAAATACACAGCAAATATACTTGTGACTATATTTGAGAATAAAATTGAATTACGCACCACCCTTTCAGTTGGTAGATGTTTCTCAATTTTAAATGCAGTTAATTTATTTTTGATAGTCACAAAGTTCTATTCCGTTTATTAGAATTAAGTTATTTGCTTGGAACAGTGCACCTCTCGGCTTGGGTGGATACCAAGCTGGACTATCACCTCCTGTGGCTGATGGAAAGCAAGGATGCTTGACTTGTTCTCCTGTTGGTTTCTTATATAGAGTGAGAGTAAGAGCTCATTTAAAATACTACAATCTATGCAATGAAATTCAACAAACTAGCCAAATTTCAAGTCCCTGCAGCCTACCAACATTTTCGTTGGACGAGAACTCCTTATTTACCTGGACCAATTGATTGTACTTAGAGCTTTTAATGTATTTGATTGTCTGCTTAAATTCCTAAATCTATAGAAATCTGCTTTAGAAAATGAAGGTTTCATGATGAATTGTGCCCGAATCAACATGGCTTAAATTAGAAAGCACAAAGCCAATGTGGACAGTGGGAAGAGCATTGAGTTAGGTGTCAATTTCTGGTAATTGTGTGACCTCTAATTAATTGTGTGATCTCAGGCAAGTTGCTTAATCTCTCTGCCTATTTTTTCCATGGGAGATGATGAAATTGAAGTAAATCAATCACATGTCAGGTCACAAAACAAGTCTCAAAAAATTTAAGAGATTGAAATTATGCTAAGTGTCTTTTCCTACCACAACGGAAGGAAACTAGAAAATAATAGCAGAAAGGAAACGAAACTTCACAAAAATGTGGAAATTAAACAGCACACTCTTGAATAACCATTGAGTCAAAGGGTAAATTAGAAAATACCTTGAGACAAATGAAAACAAAACAATAACATATCAAAACTTACATTCTAAGAGGGAAATTCATAGCCATAAGTGCATACATTAAAAAAGAAGAAAGATCTCAAACAACCTAATCACATACCTCAAGGAGCTAGACAAAGAAGAACAAACCAAGCCCAAAGTTAGGAGAAGGAAGGAAATAACAAAGAGCAGAAATAAACAAAATAGAAAATTTAAAAAAGAAAAAAAGACTGGGAATTGGGTTTTGTAAACGATAAACAAAATTGACAAACCCTTAGCTAGACTGAGAAAAAAAGAAACTCTAAATAATCAGAGATGAGAGAAGAG